GGAAAGAGCAGAGGGAGCGTGAAAAGAAAGTTGGCATGTAACCCTCTCGCTTGTGTTTGTGCTGCCTTGCTCTTCCCTCCCTTTTACCCTACGCTTCAAGTGCTTTTTTGACTGGGATCTCCGTATCTCCCTGTAGGAATAGACTGTAGCGGTTTTGCTCCTCAGTGCAGTGCCAGGTGCATGTACTTGAGCTCTCTCCACCTGAGAGGCACAGGACATCTGGGTGTAGTGCCTTACCCCGTGGCTTGCTCAGCCCTGCCTCTGAGCTTGCACTGAGCAAGAGCTTAAACACTGATGTGGGTGGATGCATCTGGGGTGAGAGGGGTACCACCTGATTTGAACTCCAGCGTAAGAGGGGCTTCAGAGATGGAAGAAGCCCCATATGGCTAAGGCCTGTTCTCAGAAAGGCCTCAGTGAGATGTGTTAGGTTCATAGCAGGAGAAGGAGAGATTGTTGCCAACACCTTTTTGGGTGGCACTGCAGGCAGCACTGCCTGGGACCTGGTGCCTCTAAGGTACCTGTGCTGCAATGGGTGCATAGCGCGAGTCCTGAGAGGTTCAAGGGGCTCATAGCTCTGCCTTCACCGCAGGCTGGGACGGGCATTTACCCTGCCTCAACATCTTATCTTTCAGGAGCTACACTTAACCCTGGGCGAGATGCCCAGCTGGGCTCGGCTCAGCCTCCAACACCACCTGCCAGGGACAGTGCCTTAAAGCTGCCCCTGGATAAAGTTGGACTGCCAAAGCCTGGGACGACCCCACTGGCAACATCTCCACAGTGTGCAGCCAACAGGGAGCTGGTGTCTCCAGCCGAGGCCCCCATCATCCTCAGTTCTCCCCGGACATCCAAGACGGACAGCTACGATCTGGTGTGGAGACCCCGGCCTGACAGCAGAGCCCCCATCCTCTATTATGTGGTGAAGCATCGCAAGGTATCGCTGTTCCGCCCTGCTCCCATCTTTCCTCTGCGCCGTTCCACAGGCAGGCTGGTGGCCTCGCTGCACGTTTTCACACCTCGTGAGCAGGTGCGTTGGGGCAGGGGCACCCATCGCTCACTGGTGGTGCTGGTTGGTGGGACCTCCTCAGCTGCAGCCTCAGCCTGTTGAGGTGTGATGAGCACAGGCTGCGAGAGCAGGTTTGCCGAGCTGTCCAAGAAGAGCCCATAGTGGCACCCATCTGCCTAAGCACGCAGAGGGCGTATGCACGCACGTGTATTTCCAGTCCGAAGAGCTTCCACTTCCAATTCCCAGTTGTGTGCTTACACAAGTAGGAAGTCCTAAAGGCAGATCGCGCAGTGACTTGCTCTGTAATGTTTTTGTCTTGGCAAAAGCCACAGGGACACCCCTGATTTGAAAGGCTCGGGCTGAACGACATGAAGCAGCAGCCTCTCTCTGCTGCAGGTACCTGCCCTGCTCAGCAGCACCCACGCTCAGTGACTGCGAGCAGCTGGCAGAGAGCCATAGCCATGCGAAATCCTCTGGGAGGGTCCTCAACCACCAGTTTTATTCTAGAAGCTGAAAGGCAGCGCACTGTTGAGCCTGCCTCTTGGCTGGTGGCACAGCATGAGCACATGGTGCACTGCTGAGCCCTACTTGAGCCCAAGGGCTCCTGCCCTCTGTGGTGCTTGTCAGCACAACGGGCAGAGCTGTAGCCCAGCGGCTTCTCCAAATAACAAAGCGTTGTTGAGGTAAAAATTCTACTTTTGAGGCGTACAGCATCTCTTCCCATTTTGCTGGGGATAAGTGGGGAAAAAAAAAGGCTTGAATTTATTTGTTTGCTGCTTGTATTTCCTTTGGGTAGGCAGGGAGCTGCAGCAGAGAGGCAGGTTTTGCTTTGGGGTTCGAGTACATTCCAGATCTGGCAGGTTTTGCATTCCCAGCCGCAACAAGACATCATTTTTGATTATATGTGAATATATGTATCTGTTTTCCTGGAATTGTTTGATTTTGTGAAAATA